TTTCGTCTCCACACTTACTTCTGACTCTGAAACTGCAAAGGAGGTATCTTGTTCTTACTCTGTGCGAATGTACGTGCAAAAATGTAATACTGAGGAGCTGCAGTTTGTCACATAATCTATCACCCCGAAGTAGCAGATTTTCTGTGTTTAGCTTGATACTGTCTTCTGGTTGCCTGCTGTGATTGAAATGAATCATTGACTCATTAGCCTGTAATAACTTCTATTGAACTGGGTGTCTGAGCTACTGCAGCTATTTTTGAGCTTTTTTTAATCAGGAAAAATCATAGCAGCATAAAGAGAAATACATGAGCAAATCAACAATTTGCAGCTGCTTTGCATATGCTTTTTAAAAATCAGGAGAAAAAGATTTTTGTACTTTCAGCTGAAAGTAGTGAGAATCTTAAATATTGATGTGGAAAAACTGGCAGGCAATACAAGAGCAGACGTGGATGAATAAGCAGTGCGTCCTGTTGCATACGGTGACAGCGTGTAGAATGTTGGCCTGCCAATAGTAATCAAAGATGATGCCCTTAGGAAGAGGAGGCGAGAAAAATAGGGTGAGGAGAAATGATTGGGTTTTGTTGCCAGTACAGTGGCACTGGTAGGAAGGTCAGGTCCTATCTTGGGGGTAAAATTAAAGTGTTAGAGAACTTAAATGCCTGTTTTTCCCATTGGATTTGATTCTGCTTTTGTTGAACTCTGTGAGGCTTTTGCATCAAATTCAACAGAACTAGACTGGCATTCCTCCTTTTTGCTTCTGTGCAATCTCGTAGGGTTTTTCCTTCACTGTAAGGGTTTTTTTTTTTTGTGTATATTTGTTTAGAATAGAACCTTTTCGGTTCCTTTTCTGAGGCAGGGAGGAGTCTCAGCTGTGTGTGCACATGCACACGCGTATTTTACTAAAGCTATAAAGAGGAAAACACACTAAGGTAAAGGTTGATTTTTAAAATCATTGCGGGACAAATAAGCTACGCTATTCTTGCTGTGCTCTGGTTTCACCGGTTGTTGAGAGTGCAGTGAGAAGTTACGAAAGAGCAAAGCAGAGTTAATATGTTTACTGGCAAAATAAAAATTTTCCAACTTTGTTTTCTTTGTTTGCTGTAATGTAGTCTCTTAAAACGGGTGGCCTGGTATAAAAAGAAAAAAAAACCACCTGGGGGAAGCTTCCAAAGAATCTTCTCTTGGGAAGGGTCTTGGCTAGTCTATTTGCCAAGTATTTTTCCCCATGGGCTGGTGCATGTTCACTGGCTCTGCAGGTCACGTGATTATAGTTTTGTTAAATGTATCTAATGTGATAGGTCTTTTTGTCCTGTTAATTGTTAATTTATTCTTGAAATTGCTTATGAGTTAAAAATAATCATAGCAAACAATCCAATTGTTTTAAGTGTATGAAGAGATCTTTGATATCTTGTCTGACTAACAAGGAACATATTCTTTCAGGAAAAAATGAATGGCTTCTGTACATGAGCTGCTCAAAACTTCCTTAATGTACCTGTGAAACTTTCAGACTGAAAAGCTCCCTGCTTCAGTTTCTGTACTGTAAAAGATACATATACGTATTAATATATTTTTTAATGTATTGATGAAGTCGTAACAAAGCTGTTACGGAGAAGAAGGAAGTTAGGCTCGCATTCTGCAAATGCGTTTTGTTCTTGATAGTTCTTTTTCTCGTTTGGTGCTTGAATAATGACATCAGCAAAAGTAATATAAAGGTTTATCTTGTACCTCTGAAGAGTTCCTGTGGCAGTGAAAGATTGTGTCTTCCACTACTAAAGCCGTCTCAGCAGTGACTGCCTGGTTCTGGCCTTGTTTTGGTGATACCACTGTGGATGTCAGTAGGTTGTATGTTAAATAGGTTGTTCCTTCTCTTAGTAGGAGTTGCAAGAGACTGAGTGTGAGTATTTAAGCCTTATGTCAGACTTCAGACTCAGCACTGGTTTGTATGTGAGTGAACTGACAGAGGGTTAAGCCTCAGCACGTTTGTACCTGAGCATGCCGTGTGGGTGATACAGTCTCAGAGCGTAACTCGGGGGTTGTCTCCTTTCCTCTGCAGTCTGTGTTGTGAAGTCCTGTAGTAGCATAATCTGTTGCTGAGTTAATGACCTCCTTTGCCCTGAGTTCTAGCTCAGCTAATATAAATGCATGTACTTTTGTTTGAAATGCTGTTTTCCACTAGGCAGCTGGTCGGTCGGTCTGTCTGTAGGTGATGAGGATAAGGACAGTTGCAGGAAACACACAGTCCTTTCTACCTCCTGGTTTTCCTTCTACTAATATTGAGGTCCCCCCAAAGCAGATGTAAAATGATTATAACTGGGGTTGTTACTTTTCTTTCACGTGATAAGACTTGATTTCCCACTTCACAGCTGCAGCAGACATTGTATGGAGTTCTGTACGCAGTGCTTGTTAAAGCACGGTGGGGTACGGTATTCTCATCTTTTTTATGCCTTGTGCTGATTCTTTCTGAAGTTTGCGTTATCTTGATTTAATATTACAGTTACAGAATGGAAAAGGCTTTACTATTTGTAAGCTGGTTTTGAGCAGGTGCTGAGCTTCTATTATTTTAGTATGGAATATTTCTGAAGAAAAGGGTGTGACTAATTGAGGGAGGAAAACACCCCTGCCCGTTTACAGCCAAATTGAGTGAAAAACGATATATTTCTACTTCATTAAAACACTTTGCGACATTTCCATATGCAGATCTTTAGAAGCGTAAGCACCTGTGTGGAGCACAGTTCTCATCCATGAGCATTTGTAGTAGCATACTTTACTGAATTGGTACTTTTCATGAGTTTTGGTGGGACGTGTTAGGCTTCAAAGCCTGGGCTGTTCTTGTACCTAATCAATCTAGAGGATACCTTTGTACTCTTATATGAATAGATTGCATCTCTAAATTCCAGCTCTAATTATAGAACATTGGTCCAGGGTGAGTTTCAGGAGGACGTACTCAAGTTTATAAATGTGTTTATCCAGACACAGGGTGGAGCTGTGACCGCATCCTGTCACTTTTTGGTGTATTGTACCACTGGAGGCCTTGAGCCATCCCACCCGCCCTGTGCAGAGATTTATCACAGGCTGGCCAGTCCCTCTGCTCTCTTCCCTTCTCAGAAGGTGCTGTGTACTACCCAGTTGCCTCAATCTGTTTCGTTTGACCCCAAAATGGGAAATGTCAGTGCTCTTCTTGCACAGTCACTAGTGAATGTGCAGACTGTCCGCTGTTGCTGAGAACTGTGTAAGGCTATAGTCTTTCTGCAAATAGGAGTGCAGAGTTTTTGTTCTTGTTCAGTGTGAAGTAGCTCTTCTTGAATTTTGCTTTATTTAAATAAAATATTCAAAAAAATAATTGAGATGAATCCAGTTAGTTCGCCCTAGTTCCGGGTTGAAGTCATGCCAAGGTGCTAAGTTTTGTGGCTAAATGTAAGACTATGCCAGGACTCATTTGAGAGATTTGAAAACCTTTTGATGAACCTGTGGTGAGTGACAAGTTGAAATGAAACTTGAAACCATATGACTTCAGATTTTACATTTGAACGACTTCAGTACTTTAAAAATGCTGGGAATATGTTGGTTTGGCTGTATTTTCTGCCTTTGTTAATAATAAAATAAACATAAGGACAAATATTTTTCTTTTGAAGGATGCTAATAGCTTTTTTATTTATTTTATTTTTAATAGTTATTTTAAAATTCATTGAAATAATTTTCCATGGAGTTCTATTAATTACAAAAAAAGCATACAGAAGGTGGAGGATGCTCTGTTGTTTCACATAGTTCTGGGGTAGTGGTTTGTATTACAGATGACTTCACTTTTGGAGGAAGGATAATTTGTAGACAATGCTTTCTCATGCGTTATTGCAGTAACCAATAGCTGGAGTCTGTATATTTCTGAACTGTAAATTTCTTGCTCTTATTTTTCTAACTGGAAGTATTTAGTATCTTAGTCCAACTTCTGTCTGCAAAACTAATTCTGATAGCTTTGCTGGTTTTAGCTGAGAGAATGTACCATACTCATCTCTCTTCCTTCGTACTTGAATGTGTAGATTATGCATGAGTAATTTTACTATAGCAAACAGTAAATTGCTTTTGTAATCATTGCTCATCTGTCTTGACTGTTACGCTAAAGAAACCGCCTGTCATCTGTGGAGACACAGGAAGGAAATAAAACAATTTAAAATTCTTTTTTATACTCTCTACATAGCATTTAGGAAATAAGACACTCAACTAGCTAGATCTGAGTTATGGTATTTCCATTATTTTGAAGTACAGTATGACACATGTGACTATAATTTGTATTCCTAAGTCCTTTGACACAAGTGTGACTTCAGCATAACTTCAGTTACAAACTGCTTTTAATCTTGTGGGGTTTGGGTCGTTCTTTTCCCCCCCACCACCCCTCAGTTCTAGAGCTAGCCTGATACCACCAGTAGAAGCTGAAGTTCTCTAAAAAGATGCTTTTTGTACTAAGGTAATTTTACCTAGCAGAGCTGTATTTTTACATTGTGATCTTTGTTTCGGGGTTTTCTTTGATGCTCTTACTCACTTGTACACAGTGTACTGCACAGCAGAACATGGAGTATTGCAGGTCTCAGGATTTACCAATTCATTGGAGACTGAATTTAGAGAAAGCTAAAAAAACCAGACTGTAGCTGATTGATTTAGAAGTTGTGTTTGAAGCTGGGAATGAGGCTGAAGTTTGAAGGCTTTTTGGAGGGGTTATCAGAAGGTGCTCTCCCCCCACCCAAACTGGTTGTTGGAAGCAAGTGCCTTCCTGGAATTCTAGTTACTTTGATTGATATCAGTAGAGATCCTCTCATGCAGCTCTCCCTTTAGGGTTGGAGTGCTAATACACACAAAACCATGGACTTGAGTATATTGAGAGGTGCTTTATTTAGCCAGCTTGAATTTTGTTTGATACGAATTTCTTTGTTTCATGGAGATATCTGTATTTTTATGTAGTCATTCATGCCTACTTTCTCTGGTTTTGTACTATTTCTTCTAGGATAAGTTGGATATCCAACATTGTTGTGGTGGTCTCTCCTGAAAATATCGAAACTATGAAGTCTATCATTGAAAAATATGGCCACAAAAGAGTTCTGGTAGTAAAAGGTGGAATGACTCGTCACCGGTCAATTTTCAATGGACTGAAAGTATTTGCAGAGAAGGAATTTTCCAACCATCTGCTCCAGAAACCAGAAGTAGTGATTATCCATGATGCTGTGAGGCCGTTTGTTGAAGAGGATATTCTTTCAAAAGTGGTTCTGGCTGCTAAAGAACACGGGGTATGTACTATACAGCAGTGCGACTCTGCAATGTTCTTTATACTGTGCAGTGTAAAATAAGGATTGATAAGTAAGGATTTTTCAAGCAATTGTATTAATATATTATGCTGATTTTTAAGTAGAACAGATTCAGAATCCCTCCTATGCAGCTGGGGGAGGGAGACATTTTTAAATGCCACAGGCATTATATGCTACCGGGAATAATTATTACCATAGAGACTATCAGTAAGAGATTGAATTAATCAGCAATTTGTTGGTTGAAAGGTAGATTACATAATGACAGTTTACCTTTTTTTCCATGCATAATTCTCACCTAATGCCAGAATAGTTCAACTAGTGATTACTAATAATAGCCAAAGAGTACTGCATTGGTTGGCTCTCAAACTTTGTGTTTTCATCTCAAACTTATATGCAAATCTGAAATACTGGGCAAGAGAGCTATCTCTGTATTAATGCTAAGTTTTTCTAGAATCTGTGATTTGCAAACTGCTGGGAGAAAGAGGAAGCGGGAAGCCTCCACCCGTAGGTTGGAGATCCTCCTGATCGTTGCTGTGTCTGAGGACTGGGAATATTCCCAGGAACTGGAAAGATTTCTGAGAAAGTAAGTGTTAGGTGAAAGGGAAGAGTTGGTAGAAGTTGTGTTATGCAGGTAGAATGCTGGAGTTGTTAAAGGCACGCACTAGCAACAAGAGGAACTGGTGCATAAACTGGCTGACTAAGAGATGCAAGAAATCACAATTTAGCCACGGGCTTGTTTGTACAATTTGCTGTTTACCTTGTACTTCAGTTCTCCATTGTTAAGATAGCAGAATGCTTCCTTACTTCAAGGAGATGATTTGAGGAAGAAGTCATTACTGACAGCAGATTGTTTGGGTATTAGAAAGCTAGGAAAATCTTCCACTGCTTGTCTTTTTCAGGAAATGAGGTAGAAGATAAGCTAATTGACAGATGGTTTGCAAGTTTGACAGTGGAATAGAGTCCAAAGAATGAATTGTGGTATTTCCTTAGTGCTCCTCCACCTTTTTTTGAAAACTCATAGTGTCAAAGAGGAATATATGACTTGTTAAAGTATTTATTATGAAAATTAAATTATGTAAGGTCTCTCAGAACAGTATGTTAGAAATCTGAATATATTGAGCTTCTTACTAGTAGGCCTGTACTTTCGTAGATCGGCTTAATGAGAAATGGCAATAAAATAGGAACTCTGCTCTATAGTTTTCAGTGATACAGGACATAAGTTTCCAGTCATTAGAACTTAAATTCTGTTAGAATTTTAACAAGGTTTTTGACCTTTCTCATATAGCACAAAACAGCATTCCAGAACTGATTCTCTGCCAAAGACTTTAAAATAGATTCTTGTTGTAAATCTGTTCTAAATATGAGAGTAGTAGAAGAGTGGGCTTAATTGAAGGAATGTTGAGTGCAAGTGAGAATAACTGTTTTCTGAATGTGTTTGTGTTTAGGTGTCTTTGCATGTAATGGTATATCGTATCTCACTTGTCTTTGTGTTTAAATTGTTCACTTTTTCTTGAAACTTGTGTGATTTTAATGTAGCATTTTTTCACGGTTTTCTTTTTAATTGTATGTAACACATTTTCAGTAAAACAGTAGGGAACCAAGGCAGATTACCTTGACCTTCTCAAGGCAGCGTACTCTAGTTCATCTGAACTTCTGACTGGTAAATATGTCCTTACCTAGACCACTGAAGTATCATTTGATGTCAAAAAGGTGATCTTATGTATTTGGCGTAGTCTTTTCCATTGCATAATGTCTGTCTGAAATGCACGTGGCATTTGTTGGTTCTGTGGTGGCTTCCTGTGTTGGCTTGCATCTGCTGAGTTCAGTAAGGCTGCGCTTCGGAGAACTCGACTCCCAAAGCTGTTAGCTACTGGTGTTACCTGAGGAAGCAATGGAATTAAGGAACACGAGAACAACTTCATTTTACGTTACAAATTTCAAAAGCTTCCTGCCAGAGAGGGGTGGCTATCTTCACTTGACAGCTACAGACTTCAGAAGAACTAGATGACTGGAAAGCTGAGACTCTCTCTCAAAGCTGACATGCATCTTTTTGAATATAGGAAAAAATTTCATCGGGAGAAGCTGTTCTCTTTAGTTCTTCCTATAGTCAAATTCTTTGCATATCTAAAAGGGAGTCAGTTCTTCAATCTTTCAATACAAAAAGTAATTACTTCCTTTTGCATTATGTAGAAAGGTACAAAACCTGGCAGGAACAGTGTATTAAATCACTAGTGTAATAGGGATAGTGCTGTATTGTTGTTCATCTGCATACCATATAGATAGCATAATTGTGAGAAGCTTTAATGTTCTTTAAAATGGCAATTGATCAAGTAAGTTATTGCACTTCTAGCTGCCAATTGTCAGACAAACTGCTTTATGACACTTACTAATCAGTTTGTTATTTGCCTGTAGGAATCAAAATGCGTACCTTATCCAGAACTAATAAATTATGCCTTAAATCCCCCAAACAATCTCTTGATTATGTGAAAATATTACTTTGTAACCAATTAAATTCCATTTATGTTTTTGAGGTAATTTTGTAATTAAAATTACATGTTTCTAGAAACAAATTCTTTATTGCTAGTAAAAGTTGGGAAAAGTGGAAGCTTCAGAAGGCATCAGTCCAAAGCCTCTAGCAGTATCTCATTGCCAACATTGCATTTTAAACAACATAACTAAAAAGAAAAATGCTTACAAGAAAGAAAAAATCGGGAGATGGGGTGGGGGGAACTTGTCAGCTCTGCTACTGAGAGTTAAAAAAAAAAAAAAGCAGCACATACAGTCGAAAGACTCTTTCAGTAGTTAACATAAACTAGATTTGAAAGTATAGTTTAATTTCTTTGAAAGGACTGAATCAAAAAGCTAGTTTCTGGAAGCTGTCTAACATCATTACTTTATTCCCAGCTTTAGCAGGGACCTGCACAAAGCATGCATGCCAGTACAGCTGTACGGTGCTACTCGGTCTCATGGGCTCTTATTCACATACACAATCAGTCAAAATAATACCCCCAGACAAAAAACGCTGTCTGTTATGCTCAGTCTGTTCCTGTCTCTGAGTTCACTCAGACGCAGTGCTGCGATTATCAGTCTTACTGGATCGGAAGGCTGGAGCAGAAAACATGTACCCAGACACATGCTGTGCTTTCACCCAGTAAGACAGCAAAATAACATGCTTTATATGTGATTGTGGAGTTGCATTAGAAAAAGAGGGTGGGTGGCAAACCAAAATAAACCTCTCTTTCTTCACTGAAAGTGAAGGAGGACTTGGGTGGATGAACAGGCTGATCTGGTGTGGTATACCTGAATGGGACGGCAGTGCTGGAGCACTTCTGCTCTCTCTGTCCTTTCTTTGTTCTTTTTCTCTTAGAAGCAATTATCTTTTTTGTTGTCTTATTATCTCCTCTGTTTTCACCATATATGGAATATTTTACACACGATCTTTGTCCTCTTTGCTATACTCAAAGACTGATTTTGGCTACTTGTAAAGGCTGCATCAGTAACAGACTGTTTCTGATTTTTATTTGTACACTGGGTCATTTGAAGTCATCCTGTGCCTGTGTTCTCTGGGGGGCTCCTGCTGTCCTGTCAGACACTTGTGCAAAAGCAGGATCAAGAACTGATGACATACTACCCTCCTGACATGATTTTTATTCCACTGATGAAATGAGTTCTGTAGCTTAGGAGACTCTGACGTATGCCAATGTAAAAGTACAGATTAATGACTTGTAGGGGTGTATATAGAAATTTTAGAAGAAAACAACATTTAAAGAGCGGCATTATTGTGGAGATCAGAATCTGTTCAGTAGCCCTGAAACTTTTCTGAATGTGTGAAGAAATCAAGTGTGGTTTTGCTGCTGTACAGGAACTAGTTATACAACATGTTATTCCTTTTCCAACTCTGTACTAATGGATGACTGTCGGAAACATCCTGATGTTTCCATGGCCTATGGCATTATTGGTCCCATAGAAAGTTACAGCCTTCTCACCCAACTCATTAACTGTTTTCTGTGTTGAATGGAGAACTAATGCGTTGTTAGCAAATACCTGAAGTCTTTGTCCTAACAAGATGTGATGTTTGGTGGTGGGAAAGCACCGGTAAGGGGGAGAAACAACTGTCATTTCCCAGTCTCAATTTAAGTGATTTAGATGATCATTACATTCATTAGGAAGGATGCAACTCAACCAACTGAAATACATAAATCATAGACAGAAACTTAAATTATAATTTCCCTTTCTTCTTTGCAGCATTTCTGTGTTGTACTAACGCAGAGACAGCTGTGCCTAATACAACTAATAGTTCTTTTTAAAAAGGTGACTTAGTCCCACATTTTTTAGCTTTTGGAAGTCTACACCTACAGTAACTTTTACCTTTTATTTTTTTTTTGGGGTAGTATTAGGTTATTCTGGAAATAAATTTTGAGCGTAGTTTCCTGTAGGTAGTTGCTGAAGTCATTTTTATGTAATGTCTATAAAATGTACCTCCTTTAAATTTAGAGAAACTACGCATATACTATGTATATGACACTGCTGGTGACTTGGGGCTAACTAAAATCTGTATGTTTCATCTGAAAACACAGTATGACTTTGGAAAATGAAGCAGCCTTCAGCAAAGATGTGTCGATTTAGTCACTCAGATTTCTCCTTCCTGTGGCAGATCAAAGAAGTTAAAAATAGTTCCTTAAAATATGGGAAATCTCAACTTGTCTAGCATGTGTGAGGAGATGAATGAAGGCCTTGGAACGTTCTAGCCACTTCTACATGGCAAGATCTGGAAGAGATTCTTAGCCCTATCTCTCTGGCTAAGGATTAGGTATGCACACCTCCCTGAGCTTTTTCCCTTTTTCACCAAACATTGCACTGAAAAGAATTCTTGAGTTTTCATCAAGAAATGCCCCCAGCTGCATTTTGGCTGAGTTTGTGATCTGGGTGGCTGTGGTGAGGACACCCCCAGCCCTGCAGGTCAGGTGAAGCTTCTGAAAGCC